CAAGTGTATATGATACAGTAAATATCCTCAAATCAGTGATTTTCTTTCCTAACATCTCCCAAATCTCCAAATCCTTAAAGACTTGCTAATTTATAAGAACCCAAGTAATAAATATTAATCTCTGAATATGCATTTCTTTAACATCAAAGTAAATTTAGATGATAAGTAGATTTAAAAAATATGTTTAAGCCCTGAATAGCTGGAAAGGCATATAGACTGAGGCCATTGCTAAAAGCAATGTTACTTTTGGCCAGTTAGGAAGATTGACAGTCAGAAGAAGAGTGAATATTTGCTTTACTCTCCCCTTTGAGTGCCCTTTCAATCACTGGGAAGTTGATCCCTAAGGAAGTAATGAAAAATTATTAAGATATTGTAAGTAATTATAAGAAATTATATAAAATTATAAGAAATTATAAGTAATTTCCTACCGGGAAAAATGGAATAAGGACATTAAAAAACTTGATTCTCCAAAACAGCCGCAGACTCCCATACTCCAAGAAGGGGCTAGCGGTTACAAAAGGGAAGGTTGGGGAGGTGGGTGGGGAGGGAGGGGGAAGGGGATTAAGGGGCACTATAATTTGCAATCACAATATAGGTAGGTCACAGGGAAGGCAGTACAGCACAGAGAAGACAGACAAGTAATGACTCTATAACATCTTATTCCATCGATAGACAGTGACTGCAATGGGGTGGGGGTGGGGGGGCTCAATAATATGGGTGAATGTTGAAACCACAATGTTGTTCATGTGAAACCTTCATAAGATTGCATACCAATGTTACTTAAAAAAAAAAAAAAAAAGGTAGGGTCCTTGGGCCTACAACCACAAGGAACTGAATTCTGCCCATGACCGTGTGAGCTTGAAAGAGCTTCAGGAAGGAACATAGCCTGGTCAGCAGCCTGATTGTAGCTTCAGCAGAGCACCCAGCTAGGGTGTGCCAAGATTCCTGACCCATGGAAAGATAATAAATATATGTTTTTTTTAAAAAAATAACAAATAAAACAAAAAGACTTGGTTCTCACACTAGCTCCTCCTGTTATCATGTCTTGAGTCCATTAAAGCTGATTCTGCAAGTCTAAAACAGAGATGTTAGCCCAATTTACCTCTCAAATGTCTTGAGGGATCATGGGCAGTAGTACACTAGACAGTTCTGTGTAGAATGTAATTCATTAATATCAATTTGCAAGGTATCATTATTAACAAAAGACTATGCCCTATCAGATCCTAAGGTTAAGTCCAGTAATTATGTATCTTTCAATATTTTTCTATTATAAACAGTGCACACACCATATATCTCATGTACACATGCACATTGCAAAAATTCTTAGAACTGGAATTTCTGGATTAGAAGGTATATGCATCTGTAATTTTTTAAAGTACTGCTAATAAAAATTTCTACCAATTTATTCTCTGATCAGCAAAAAAGATTATTTCCTACACCACCAATACATACATTATCACTTAAAAAAGACTACTATCTTATTGGTGAAAATTGCAGCTTTTATTGCAGTTTTAAATTTGGGTTTCAGTAAGATTGAACATCTTTTGTTAGGCTATCTTAATCATATACTTAACTATCATTTGTATTTGGGTCTATTTCTGGACTCCATTCCATTGATTTATCATCTGTCAACACCATATTAGCCACCCCACCCTTTCCTCTTTTTCTTCCAGGATTATCCTAGCTGTGACCACTTTTAAAATTTCCTGCAGGAACTAAGAATCAGCTTGTCTAGTTCTAAAAAAGCAACTATCTGTAATTTTATTGGGATTGAGTTTATAGAATTTAAAGAGAAATGACATCATGAAGTTTCTAACCCAGGACCACAGTATGCCTTTCATTTAATCAAGCCTTCTTTGTCCCCAAGGAGGATTTAAAGAGTTTCTTCATATAGGACTTGCATATTTCTTTTTAATTTTATTCCAACTTTTTATTTTTTGCCATTTTATACTAGGTCTTTTTCCCCCCCTAAAATTAGATCTTACTGCTTATTTCTGAATATCAGTTTTGTAGACAGCCCTTATGAATTCACCAGTTTGCAAGTTTTTCATTTTAATTCCTGTATTTTTCAGGTGTATTATCAAATCACCTGCCAATAATGATTATTTTATTTTCTGTTCTCCAATGATCATTTCTCTAATTTCTTTTGTCTAAATGTGTTGGAAAGTTCTTGAAAAAATAATTAAAAGATAGTGATGGTGGGCATCCTTGTCATTTCTGATGTTAATAGGAATGCTTCTAGTGTTTCACAATTATCAACTGATTGCAGGGTAGTTGTATTTAGTCGTTTTTAAAATGTCTATCTGTTCTTATATTAATAAGTTTTTTATTTAATGAAGCATGGTTTCTAAATTATATTGAATTGCCTCTATACTTTCTGTGAAGATGCTCATGATTTCTCTAATGCAAAACAATTTCTCTAATGCAAAATATATAATTCCCTAGGAATAAAACTTCTTTGCACTCTTGGAATAAACTCCACCTAGATATGTACTATTTGCCTTTACTAATGATTTTGCCCCAATATTCACAAACAAGTTGAAATCATTTTCTATGTGTATTATTATTGGCTTGGGAATCTTTGGGTATACTCAAACTTTAAAGCACACTAAAGCTTCTTAAGTCCCAGAAAAATTTGTAGTGCATTGAAATTAGAGTTCCATTCTGCAATTTCATATGCTTGATGATGTATGTGGGTGGTGACGGTAGGGATTAACTAACTCCTTGAAAAAGTTTTCTTCTATAGCAATTCACCTTTTTAGGTTTCCTGCATCTTCTAGAATCGGTCATAAAATTTCTTTCTTTAAAATTAACCATTTTATTTGGCTTTCAGATTCCCTTTTTTTATTGTAGTTGACACACAGCATTACATCAGTTTGTGGTGTTCCAACATAGTAGTTCAACAATTATATACATTATGAAATGTCCATGATTGTATATAGTTACCGTCTTTCATCACATGAAGCTATTATTGACTATGTTCCTTATGTTGTACTTTTCATTCCTGTGAGTTATTTGTAAGTGGAAATTTGTACCTATTTGGCTTTTAAATACAATGGCATAGAACTGGACAGAATCATCCCCACCCCCTACCTTTTATCATTTTTGTTAGGATGAGTCTATTTGTTTCTGAATTGGTTTCTCAGTTCTATGTACCAAAATATCAACATTTAGGTTTACTAACTCTATTTATTTTATTTCATTATCAACTCCTTCATGCTTTTTATTTTCTAATATTAACACATTTATCTTCATTACTTTTGGAGTCAGTTGAGAATGGAAAGTGCGGAATCAGAGATGAGGTTGTGAAAACTCTTAGGAGTTTGGCTATAAAAGGGAATAGAGGTACACCCTTCAAAGGGAACACTGTCTAAAGATACTGTACACTTGGAGTTGGTAGGTGGGTAGTTCATCATGTAACACAAGAAAGCATTAACTATACAAATGTGCATGTGGTCATTGTTGATGGCCCCTTGATGTCATCATAAACAAAAAATGAGAATTACCACAGCTGTTTTTCTCTGGTAACATTTTACAGCTTAATTATACATAAAGAATAGGCAGAGTAAGATTTGGGTTTAACCTGAGTTGGTTTCTGCCAAGTAGGTAACAAAAACGGGCACATGCATTAAATTCTGCCCAGAATTTCACAGGGCTCATGAACACATACAAGTAGATGAACTTCTTGTAAGAGTATTCAAGTATAATACAGGACAGCATACAGGATTATTCTTTAAAATGCTATTCAAAAGTTGATACTTGCAATAAACACAGTAGTTGAAGCCTTGCTAAGCAGAATAGGAGATACCTTTCTTATCTCATGTTCACTTCTTCTTGGTCTTTGGGGATGGGGCACTATTCACCTCTATTTTTCTGTTGTTGGAAGGCATATTAGAATCTCTCAGGGACCCAAGTTTTTTTTTTTTATTTGTTTACAAAATACATGCTTATAAAAAATTATAGAAATATATAAAGCTGATCATGAAAGTTCTCCCATAATTTCACTCCCTCAGAAAGCCAAACAGTGTGAGACTTATTTTTCAGAGCATTAACAACTTACTGTACAAAAACTGCTTGTACAACTTTTTTACATAAAAATTTGGACATGAGTTCAGTCTTCCTTTAATGGATATAAATTGCATGAAGGTACCATAACCCATTAAGTTGGTCTCTTATTGTATTGATAGGACACCTGGGCTAGTTTAAATTATTAAAAAACAAAGGTGCAATGAACTTGTGCATAATTATCCAATTATTTCTATAAAGCAGTTTCTTGGTAATTTCACTTCTAATGAGTTAGCTGAAGGGTATGAGCATTTTCAATATCCTCTGGAAAACTACCCTCCTAGATGTTACAACAATGATACTCCCACCTACAGCACGCAAGATGGGATATGTTTAATTTGGAAATGCTTATTCAAAAATACAGTAGTTGTTTAACTTGAAAAAAAATTAAGTTGATGATTCTTGTGTGTTTTCTATCCCAGTTGATCACCTGCACCTCTCTCAGAGCATTTCTATAAGTTATGAAACTGGGAGTCTTGGAACACATCTTATATGCGCATTTCCTGAACAGCATCTGGCACACAACTTTGCACAACATGCACTTTAAAACCATTTGTGGAATAAACATATATCAATTAAATTAAAACTTCAAATCCTTTAATCCCAAATTACGAGTCACAGTTTTTAAGGAATTAAAAAACAAAACCAAAATCCTGCTCCTCCCTCAAAACATGTCCTGTATTTCAGTAAGCAGTTTTGTATAAGTTTAAAAAAAAGTCTTTTAATACAACTGACAAAATATTCTCTCTTTAAAATAGTTATGTTGAATGAATCTGTGAATCTTTCTATCTTCATCTTACTTTCTAGGATTTCAAACTGTTTTAGAAATAAAAACAAGGGGGAGAAGTAGGGGAAGAGTTTATTGTAAAATATGAAGCCGCAATGATTCGAGCATGTGCATTTCTGCTTTATATTCTGAGCCAGAGCACAAAATGACTGGATNAAAAAAAAAAAAAAAAAAAAGAGAACCAACATGAAAATGATGCCACATTAAAATCTCTTTCTCTTGATGATTTCTGGCTTCCAGCTGACTGGATGCGTTTCTTCTGTCTAAAAACAGAAAAGTAAGTTAAAGTATCATTAGTTTGCTTCATACTAGTAACTTCTTTTCTAATGTAAATAAGGTAACTATTCTAAATTATATTACTTGGCATTACATGCTTAGTTCTTTCCCAATTTTAGGAATAGCTGACAAACATTTGGCAGTATTTGAATCTAATGAAGGATGGATGGGTTCCCTACAAGTTCATTTTATGGTTTTTCCTTTCAAAAGTGCTATTTGGATATTCTAGTAATATGAAACCTTATAATTCTAAAATTAATTTGCACAGCAATCTATTTATTTGTGGCTCTTCTTAGTGCAAGATTTTCCCAGTAACTGGAATAAGGAAAGGGGGAATAAAATTAAAACATCTATTTGTTGGCAACAATGAAACCAATACAGAAATCGATGAGCAGACACTATTTGAAATGAAAAATACTTTAAGGTTATAAAGATTATTTTCCCTTCTGATAATTTCAGTAATTTAAAATGAGAAAATACTAGTAAAGTTGGTATGGCTGATTTTACTTTAAAATGTATATGAAGTAGAGAACTTACTGCTGTATCGTCCTCTCTGTACACTTTAATGGTTTTATCAGCTTCAGCTGTTAGCAGCCGGCTTTCGGACTGATCAAAAGCACAAGCAAATATTCCTGATTCGCTGTCCAAAGACCCAGGCTGCACAGCTGCATGAACTCTCTGGAAATTGTAGCCAGTTCTCCAGTCCCAAAGATGCATAGTGCCATTGTCAGCTAGAAAGGAAAGAGCTAGTTAGTTAACTTGGTATTTGTACCACAATTCAGCTTGACCAATATTTACTATGCACCATCTATTAACCAAGCACCATGGCAATAATTCCGGTTATAAAGATATGTAGGACGCATGCACTCAAACTTCTCTTAGTATTAGTTTGTCAACTTTCATTTGCGCTTAATTTAAAATTCATTTTATATATCACAAAAAGCATCACAAAATGACATCCAATTTGTGAAATATACAACCAAATTTTTGGTGATTCCCAGCATAAACCCCTAACTTAGATTTATCATGTGGGAATTCAAAGAAGGCTAAACTATGAAATATGCTACATGTATTATGAATATGCATAGACACACATATGAACAGACATTAATCAGGCAAGTTCTGATGTGATGCAATGGCTTAGAAATTTTACCAATGCTTACTCATTTACTAAAAGAAAGAAAAAGTGACAGACTGAAACATACATCATAGAAATCTTATTTTACCTCCAGATACAAGCACTCCATCAGAATTTACTGTCAATGTGTTAATAATAGCATTATGACCAGAAAGATTTTGAATGAAACTTCCATCAGGGAATTTCCACTGTTTTATGTTATCTGGAGAACCAGATGCAAATGTATAACTGAAATAAGATTAAAAATAATTAACAACAAAGTAAATTATGTTAAATAAAATGGTGGATTTAAAACGCTTATTACATTATACTTTGCATATGTACTTACTTGCCCTATAGTTTTAGCAAAATATTACTGTCATACCAAGAAGTAAAAAATCAAGATATATGTTCTAAGTTAAATCAGATTTTTAGATTATTTTAAATCCATAAATGTTTAATTTTCTTCTCATTTCCCCAGTGCTCTACACTGAGCTAAGCAATAAATACGCAAATCCCTACACTGATATCAGGGGCTAGGGGTATGCAACTATTTTGGAGAAATGGAGAGTGAGAGAGGGAGAGAGAAAGAACAGGAAGAAAAGGAGTGAAGGAAAGAAACAGAGGGTGTGAAAAAGAAAGGGAGTGAGGAAGACAGGGAAGGGAAGGAGGGAGGGAATGACATTAAGAAAAAGAGGGAGGAGGAGAGAAAAGACAGGAATGTGACCTGGAAAGTGTCAGGATGATATGACACAATAAACAATATACTGTGATATTGCCCTCTATCTCTTTGGGTACCCTGACTAAAATGTTAATGTTTCCTACTTTTTTTCCCCTATGTATATTTATATTTTTTTCTATGTATGTATTTATGTATATACAAGATATATTTTTTCTCTCTATATATTTTTATATATATAGCATATATACAAAACTTCCTCAACAATTAAACCATCCTATATATATCTCAGTATTCAATAACATTTATGTCCAAAACTTTAAATCTAGCTACTATTAGCTTCTAATGTGAGAAGTAGCTTCAAACCATGATTTATTCAGTCTCACTTGACATTATCATTTTTCACCATGTAGGAAACTCCTCTTACCCTATATAGGGTATGAAGCAAAATACTATATAGGGAAAATGAAAGTAATACATGTTTGTAAGTGGCAGAAGCCTGGAACTGACAGTGGCTAAATGATTACCAAAGTAGTACTAATGTTGGTATTTCTGTACTACCATACACTTAAAACTGAGGAGAGAAGAGAAACTAACTAGGAAAATATACTTACTGTCTTGGATGTAAAACCACAGCCCTGACGGATTTTTTGTGATTTGTCAAGGTGACCCTTGTTTTTCCAGCCACCAAATCCCATAATCGTATTGTAGTGTCATGGCTTCCTGTAATGAAAATACACACATATTCTCAAAACACAGATCAGAAAAAAGAATACAGAAGTTAAATAACATAAAATATGAAGCATTCTTCCACAGACACATACAACTAAATCAAAGTTAGAACAACTCTTGGCTAATTGCTTTACAGTTCCAAAAATTTCAGGCTGGTTTTAAATTTAATTATTTTAAAAAACTGCAATAAACACTTGATACACTATCAAATGAGCAGCTAGAAAAAATGCAAATAACAAATAACTTCATGATGTTTTCCCCTAGTGGAGGGGGAAGGAAAAAAACTAATGATTTTTTAGTTAACTACATCAATACATCCATTTATTTTTAGTTAATAAAATATATCAATACAACTAGAAGTTATTTTCTAGTCTTAAAGATCCATTGTTATTAACCTTATTTTAAGCAAAACAAGACTCAAACCAGCTCTAAAGGTTATTGGTCTCCTGATATTTTATCTTCCAACTTCCAATTTCCTGGATCAGTCATGGTGATACTATGAAATAATGCTTTGTTATATCTAACAGCATCACTTTGTAATCAGCTATTACATGATACTGTGTATGACATATTTTCTGATATGTAAAGAGTATGAGATAAAAACAAAATGAAATCTTATCACAATAAATTTCAAGTGAACACAGAAACACTGTATCCATAATACAAAGCAAGTCACAGTGAATGTGAAAAGTATAATCATAATGTATTCTGATATGAATATGCTGTAAACTTGGGAAGTATCAATCATACCAGTAATAATTTGTGGTTCTGCAGCCTGACACCTCACTGTAGCAACTGCATTTGTATGTCCAGATAATGTGTGTACACTGGCTTTAGTTCTCACATCCCAAATCTGTAAAAATATATTAGACATACTGTCAAAGAGAATAGGTATTCACATCTCAGGCAGGCAACTATCAATTCAAGGCTGGGAATTTACTAGACAACTGTGCCTGAATATAATGAAAAATATGCTTAAATTAAAGATAAGGATCTGTAAGCTGGCCAGGGAATGTAGCTAAGAGGTAGCTGATTCAGGGGGAGAAAGCTAAAAGATAAAGACACTGAAAGTCCAAGATTGGGTATAACAGGACAACTGAATCAAACCACCAATGGATAATAGTCGTGATGACAGAATGGAATATGCGATTTTCACATTTCAGAGCCAGGGCACTTCCGATAATAAACATGGTGACGGCACAGAACTGTATGTGAGGGTGATAATAACATGTAAATTGAGAAACTGGGAGACTAGGGTATTAGTGGGCCAAGGCAAACATTTTTAATTCTTTATCAAACAGTATGTGACTCCAATGCCAAGTATACATACTGTAAAATGCAGTATGTTCATAGATAAACACAAAGCTCTGTTCCATTTACCCGTGCAGTTGAATCTCGACTACAGGTTACCAACACATCAATTGTTGGATGCAAATCCAAACCATACACCGCGCTTAGATGTCCATGATAGTGCCTTATAACCTAACAACAAAACAGTAATGTTAAAATGTCTAATTAGAAAGAAAAACAGTGGCTGATAAGGCTTGAACCCTTAACTCCAAGCTCACCTTATTATATTCAAGATCCCAGCACTTGACTTGCTTGTCTTCTCCACAGGAGAAGAGGTACGGGCTCCTCGTGCTCACAATCACACCACGCACTGTACTGATGTGCCCAGTTAATGACAGTTTTAACTTGCCACTAGCCAAGTCCCAGATCTGCAATCAAAGAATATTGTTTTTCTTTTATGTTGATTATGCCAAAGCAAATTTTTAGAATGCTGATGCTAAATTAAGTCTTCAAAATGCGAAAGATATAAACATAAAAATTTAGAAAGATCTGAAAAATGACACTCCTAAAAGCAGGGAAAAAATAGAATTAAAAAGTGTGTTCAAGCTGGGGAAATATTTGCATAGGTAATGAAAGGTTCATATCATTAATCTATAAAAGGATATCATTGACAATGAAACTATGAATACCACAGTATTAAATTAGCCAAGGATGGCAACAACTTTAAAAAAACAAATGCTATGGAAAGGAAAGTCCATCAACAGATGAATGGATAAAGAAAATGTGGTATGCACATACAATGGAAGATTACTCAGCCACAGAAAAGAATGAAGTATCACCATTCATTCCATGGATGGTCCTTGAGGGCATTATACTAAGTGAAATTAAGTCAGAAAAAGACAAATACCCTTTGACTTTACTTATATGTGGAATCTTAAAAAAAAAAAAAAGAAAGAGCTCGCAGATACAAGAACAGATGGTGGTTGCCAGAGGTTGGGGGTGGGGTGGGATGAAGTGAAATAAGCCAAAAGGTATAAACTTCCAGTTATAAATAAATCATGGCATGTAATGTACAGCAATGGCAACTACAGTTAATAATAACATATTCACATTTAAAAGTTGCTAATAGATCTTAAAGAGTTCTCATCAGAAGGGGAAAAAATTCTACAGCTATGTATGGTGACAGATGTTAACTAGACTTACTGTAGAGATCATTTTGCAACATATACAAATGCGGAATCTTTGTTATACACCTGAACCTAATATAATATATAATGTATGTCAATTATGTCAATAAAAATACATGTACATATTTTTAAATACCTAAAATCTGCTTTATAAGGTTATCAGAAAGTATAATCTCACTAGAAAATTTTTATATATAGTTTCTAAAAGATTAGATACCCACTTCTGCTTATCATATTAGCAGTTATTTTTAAAGACACACAATGTGTTAAAAAGATTCTTCCATACACTACAAGTATCAATTCACCCATTTTGGAAAATAATTTGTACTTTGGCTGTCAAATTTAAAGACATCTGACCCATTAATTCCATTTGTGGCGATCTAGAATAACAAAGTAATTTAAAATGCAGAAAAACTTTTGGCACAAAGATTATAGCTATCATAGTGAAAATCAGGAAACTGAAAACTTTAATATTCAACAATATTAAAACATTATATATCAAGCATGATTTTTAAAAGATACACATTTATTCACACAGGAAAAAAGTTCAGAAGGAAATGCATTAATACATATGCTCAGAAATAAATACTAAAAAGTAATCATTATAGTATCTGAGAGACAGGATTATGTGTGTGCCTATATTCTTTTATACTTCTCTTTATTTTCCACATTTTTAATTGATGAGAATGCTTTAATTTTGTAAGCAGAGAAGGGAAAAAACTTAAATATAAAGGAATTAGTGGCAAGTAGTCAACAATGTTTGGAAAAAAATTATTAAATACAACTTTCAAACAGGTATTTATTGGGAACTTTGGTATAGATAATAATTTTACTCCACATTCAGATCTAAAAAAAAAATAAAGGAACAGCAATTTCCACCAGAGGAAATAACTTAAAACAAGTTAGATTTACATGGCAAACACAAAGTCATGTCTGTTTTTTCAGTACTTCCTTATTACCTTTATAGTTCTGTCAGCAGACCCAGTGACAAACCACTGATTTCCAGGTTCCACAGCAATACATCGAACCCAGCCAAGATGCCCACTGATCACCTGCATTAAAAGAAGGGAGAATGAGCACATTCATTACATTTAAGTTAAAGTTTATTCAATTTCAAAACATTACACATAAAGTTCACCCACATCTTCAAATGTTAAGTTCGTAAGATTAGCTGACTATTAGGCTTTAGAGTAAGTATTAAGTCATTTTTAATTGTTAATGGATACATAATTTCTGGCTTACCTGTATAGCAGACTACTACTCAGCAATAAAAAAATAATGTGTTAATACATATAAGAGCTTGGACAAATTCCAAAGGCATTAAGTGAAGGAAGTCAGTCTTAAAAGGTACAAACTATACAATTCCATTTAAATGACAAAGTTCAAAATACACAACTACAGTATGCAAAACAGATGAATAGCTGCTAAAGGCAGCAAATGGTGTTGCTAGAAAAGAGTAACACAGGGGTGACTTTTAAGTTGATGGAATGTCTAAGTCCTGATCGTGTTAGGTGTACCCAAACATGTATCTATTAAAATTTACTAGGCCGGTACACCAAAAAAAGTCCATATAATTAGACAAACAAAATTTAACATAAATATTAAATTATGTGCAGCTGTAGGTTTCCCCAGTATGTACATTTTTAATTATTTTAGCTTAATTGAAAAGATAATTGGTAGGGCCAAAGGTATGTCCTTGGCTATTATTTCCCCCCTTGGCCTTGATATTAACACCTCACTTATCCTAAACTTACTTCATCTGCTCTCCACATTTAGAGGCCTTTTATCAGTATTTTATATTACATTTTATATAAAAGACAAGTTTAGCATTGGCTTAAAGAAGTCTCCTTTCCAAGATCTCTCTTAAGATACTGCCTAAGCACCTGAGATCACTTTCCCAGTTTTCACATTCACTCCTTTTGTTCCTCATTCTATTCCTCAGCTCCTGCCCACTGGGGAGCCGCGAGCTTGCTTCACGCAGAGGGACGCTGTGCACATTCACTCACCCTGTAGAGTTTCCACGGGGGGTGCCACTGGGGTTTCGGCATTGTAGGGGCCTTTTTAGCCACAAGCGCAGAGTTCTTGGCATTTCCACCCTCAACAGCAACCTGGACACAGAACAGATTTCACTCTATTACCTAAGGTTTCATGTTATCAATTCAAAACTGGAAATTTGAAGAAAGAACTTATGAAACTTTTTTCCCTTAAATGGAGAGGAAGAGATAACTAAAAATGTCTGCACAACTAGAAAATGAGTCTAAGACTTCTGATCAGAACTATTTTCTGTATGTTAATTTTAATTTTGAAAAGCAATTTTAAAATCTCAAAGCAGAACATTAGAATTAAGAGCATATATCACTGTTCATGGGTTCAAAACCAAGCTAGGCCAATTACTAGCTGCTTCACTTCAGTAAAAACTATGGAAACTTTGTGCCTCATTTGTAAAATGGAGGTAACAGTGTCTACCTTATCCAGTTGTTATAAAGATTCACAGAGCAGAAAATGCCTTATGTAAGCTCCTATTATTAAAGTAGACTAATGCCATTGCTTTTCACCATTCTAACATTGATTTAATATTGCAAAAGAGAAACTGGTATTGTCTTCTAAAAAAAACTTCCAAAAAAAAATTATTATAAAATACGCTATGTCATCAACTGTTAGCATCCATCCATCCATCCTCAGAAAGCTTACATTACATCCTTTTAAGGAGTCAGAATGCCTGGGCAAAGAGACCTATGAAAATCTAAAGAAAAAAATATGGTGGGAAGACTTCAGATTCATTTACTTCACAAAGCCAAATCAACTGCATATTAAAATGAGGAAGTAAAGCCTGTATTTATTTCAGTGACAGCATACTAAAATAAACTGTATTTCCAGGTATTCTTTCTATAGTACCTTCACCAATAACAGCAGCAGCCTTTTACTTACAGATAAACTGATGTATTTCTAAACACTCATTCATAAGACACTACTTATATAGCTCGTGAATATTATATACTAATAGTACTCAACTCTAATTGTATAAAACTTAAGTTTAATAAAAAATATTTTCACATCTAACTCATACATTTCAGAATATTCCCTATATTTTTTATAGTGAGCAAAGTGCCAAATCACATTATCTCCGTCAAAATAAATGTTATATACAACATGCAAGTAGAGAACTAACAATTTGAAATTCTAAAAAATATGTCAATTCACTAGCAAGGTAAATTTTAGGGCTATGAAATAGCTCAAGTTGCTACTTAAACAATTTCAAGGAAAATGTTCATTTATTTAATACTTAACGTAAGACTAATGGGAAAAAAGTATGGCAACAAATCCCAAAAGTTAGAGACCTAACATGATTTGTCAGATTTGTCACGGAGAAGCTTACTGAAGTCATCCCTGCAGGCTGTGAACGGTCAGAAGCCCCAGGATGGCGATATTCACCTCCAGCAGGTGCACCACGATTTGTATCAACCCTGAGGCAAAAGAAACATCACAGTGTAAGTAATTAATGTCTCCACCCATGTGTTCTGCAGAACCAACTCTTTATATTTTAAATTTTGTTAAGCTGTGATAAAGGAAAATATCATGTGATACACAATTAGAAAGAAACAAATTTTTAAAGAAGGAGAAAAAAATGTGAACAAAGAACTATGCTCTCAAAATCTTTGTAGTCAGAAACCTAATATTTCATACCTAGTCTGAGAAGAAGGTAATGCCACAGCTAAGGACTGTGCAGCGGATTCACTTGGCATTCTTTGGATCTTAGTATCTGCTGTCAAAGCAACCCCTGTTAAAATTTAAAATAAATAAAAAATCAGTTCTTCTAGTTGCTATTTTTGTTTTCATTTACAATAAAATACTGGAGGAAAATTTATCCAAAAGGAAATGGTGATTATCTCCAGGTGGTGATATTACAAATACTGATTAAGTTCTGCATATCTTTTGTTTCTAACTTTTTTACAATAAACAATGCTTAATACAATGCATAACAAAAAAAGATTTAATCATAACCAGTTTGGCATTAATACCTAGAGTTAAATTTGTTAAACAGTAAAGTTGAATTTCAATTATCTTGGGATATTACCTACAGATATAAAAATTATGCAGTTCCCCAAATACTAACAGAATGTTTCAAGGGTAAATTACTACAATAAGAAATATCAAAGCAGCACCAACTTGCCTATACTTTCCATACCAAAATTACTAGAACCTAGACATACTAAAGTTTTTGTTCTCCAACTTATTTACTGGACACTCTGTATGCCAATACCCACACACACACCAGGACATGTTCCTATCATACCTGCTTGTATACTAATACTTCTATCATTTTTATAAGCTTGATGATATTTACATGTCTGTCTAAACCTCTGTATAATAAACCTGTGTTAGCCTAGAGCAGTCTTTTTGTCTGAGTTTCCAGCACAGTGTCTGAAAATACACAGATGCTTAAGAATATTTTCTGAGTAAGTGCACATTACACTGAGTATCTAAAAGCTGAGCCTGGATGTCTAGCTACTGAGTTTAGCCTGAATTTTATAGGCAGTGGGAGTCATATTGGCTCCTTCACGGACATATACGTGACAGTAAGACACTTCCAATATGCCAGAGCTCACATACCAGGTCCTGGTGGATATGGATGTGTACCCGTTACCAAATACTCAACTTCTTGTCCTTAAAAAAAAAAAAATAAGAGAGAGAATAAAAGAAAATTCATCAATGGCAAATTTAACTTATATACAAATATTATCTGTTTTAATGAATTAAATAATAATAATTATAATTGGATTTCTCAAATTTTCCAACTAAAACCCAGCCTCAGAAATAAGTTAAGTTGGATATTTTTGTTTTGACTTCTGAAGACCATGTACACAGCTATTTCCTTGACCATTTTGTTAACATGATGTCAAGAAAGCTTGTGCATTTGCTGTATTTGCAATGGTGTATACATAGGTCATCCTATCAACAATTCACCCTGGTTTTTCTTTCAAGCAAATGGTGTCCCTGGGGAATCTTGGATTATCTTTATTCACTACAATTTCCATATTTAATATCATCTTTCTGAATTAGAGCCAAAATGGATATAGTCTCCCCACAGGTTAGCAATTTTTCCTTCAGTCTCCACTGTGACCTTTCCTATATCCTAAGAATTTCTGCCATCAGCATAGCACCACTTTTTTACTTTCTGTAAGAAAAAAAAATTCACCAACTAATAATCTTACTTTCTATTCCAATGAGGAAGTCAAAACATCCATTTTAGTACTAGTCTTGGTATTTAATAGGGCACGGCTCTAATTAGTCCTTCCAGGAAAGGTACTAGTAAGATGTATCATTTTTCTATTTTTAACATTCACATATAAGCCTTGACGTTTCTGACAGTGCCACACTCACCTTGATTGGCAGGATATTGTTTATGACCATATGAATCTGATGCATTTTGAGGACACTTCTCTTTAAAATTTTCTTTCGAAGTAGGCATATGCAACACAGGGCCATACTCATTACGCAGCTTTACTGCCATTTTTCTTTTGTGGCTATTTAAAAATTATGAACATAAGAATGTAACTTTGAATACTTTATATATTGACCAATGTAAATATATTCACAGACAGCCAGGAAACAAGTACTTAAATAGCTTTTACATATTTAAAAAGATATTTAAGTAGCTTTTTAATTTGAAAAACTTAAGTTTACCTAATCACATAGGAAAAGTTTTTAATATTTTAAAATTGCACAGTATTGTAAAAAGCTAAAGTGCATTTTCACATTTGTGCACAATCCACGACAGAGCATCCACATGAAACTGCTACATATTTTAGTTTGTTAACCAATATATACAATTTTTCATGATGAGTTATCAAGGGTCTAAATGATTTAAAAACATACAGAATTAATATATCTTTTTAAAAACCTCAGTCAATATACTTCCCTTCAAATGCCTAAATATAATAGTAAAAGCTTCTATATAACCTTTACTGGATGTGCCTAAAAAGATTAGAACTAATCAAATATTAGTTGACCTACTTAATTAGCTCAATATTTTTAAAAGAAATGGACTTATATAACTTTTAAGAATAGCCCAGTTTATAAATTAAATATAAATGCTTGTCTGAGGAATTAAGTAGATTTTAAAAGAAGGGTAAAGGACAAAGAAGGAATGCTGCACATAATGCAATCCCAGACTGCAGCAGGAGATGCAGAACCAAATATATGCCAACACTCAAAAATCTTCACCATACTAACGAGAAAAGATGGGAGTAGAGGTACTGGCCAGGTACAATTTCAGCTCAGCAAGGCTCTGAGAGCAGCGGGAAGCTGAAAGCACATATACAGTGATTGATTATAAAATATACCTAAAAGGGACTCTCCTAATTACTGGGTATTTGTAAATGCAATTAATTAATGGGATATTTACTGTACAAGTTAAGGCCAAAAAAGTTCAATCAGCTTCAATTATACCCAAACACCACTCATTATTGAGTAGATTTCATCTGAGTGTATTACTCACTCATCTTTAAAGGTCCCCTCTCCTTGTTCTCTTCCCCAATATTAGAAGTTTAAATATTAGCAACTGAAAAGGAACTATACCTACCTCTCTTCATCCAAAGGCACAGGTTTTCCATTATCAGCTACAAACATGTCATGGGTCCTCTTCAATGACCTGAATACCAGTGTGTGCACAGAATGTTTCTGTACCTCCTAGAAAGAAAGAGTGTAATTACATATCTAGTTACAAATCACAGAAATCTTAACTGAAATTAAAGCCAAATTAGCTCTCCACTTTACATGTTTAAATATGTAAAACATTGTATCATTCACCACACCTATTTGTAGCAAGCTATAGGAATCAAGATCAGAGAAGAGGAGGAAGCTCCTCCATGGCCAGAGCCCCACGTATATCAACTGAGTGATGCCTAAGATTAGTCATTTATTCCATAAGTATTTACTGAGCTCTTACTATGTGCCTGGCAGATACTGTGCTAGAAGCTAACTATAAAATGATGAAAAGGCAGTCATGGTCCCTGTGCTCATGAGGAAACTAGAAAAAGCAAAATAACTCAACATTATAGCAATTACTATGAAGGAAACCAGCGAGGGGCTGAAACAGAGAATGCAAAAAGAGCTTAAGAGAGTTATTAAAGATCTCTCTGAGGTGGTATCTAAACAGAGAGGGGGGTAGCCTTGCACAGAGCAGAGGCAAGAACAATCTGCACAGAAAGAAAATGCACTGGTGTTCAGTAACTGAAATAATGCCAGGAGCTGCTGGAGTTGTACAGGTTCAGTGAGAAAGTGGATTGTGATGCAAGATGAGGTTCCAAGGGAAGACAAGGTCCAGATCAGGTAAGTTTCTTTTTAAACTACTGCAGCAGTCTGTATTTTTGCTCCAGTAAGTTTTAAGCAAGCAAGCAAGCAAGATCAACTTAAGTTTTAAACAAATCGATTCAATTCATGGGGTGGGTGGGATGGGGGCGGTGGATAACAACAATGGAAGCAAGACCAGCTGGGAGGTAACACACTAGCCCAGGAGGAAGATGATGTCGGTCTGAGTGCAAGTGATGGCAGTGGATATAGGCGGACAAGACTGGTTAACAGAGCAATTGTTAAAGCTAGGGAAAGATGCAAAAATTGAAGATTGGCAGGTTTTCCTGGGAAAGAACTGCAGAAACAAAGTGACCACCAGGGAAGAACACCAGCCCTTTGAAACAATCACTGACACTACCCTGCAGGCGGCGAGAACGAGCGGTGGAACAACGGCAGAAGCTCCGCCTCGGAGCGCGGCGGCCAGCTCAAGTGCCCCAGGGTCAGATGAGGACTGGAGAAATTATCTCAGGCTTCTCACCCGGACGGAACGTCCAACTCTTGCTCTTAGCCTGCCTCCCTCCTTCTCTGAAAACCTTAAGAAAACACTACCCGGCCTCGCCCAAACAGCCTCCCTTCGTAGCCTCTACTCTCCCCAAACTCCCCTAGATACCCCAAGCTCGACGCCAAAGAAAGACGAGCCATAAACAAACGACTCCTCAGCGTCCAAGCGTCACTTTACCTCGACCATGATTCCGTAGCGCAGCCCGCCGCTGCCGCAAAAAGAACACGAATCACCGACGCACAACCCGCCGCCACAAGCATGCAGCCCATCCGGAATCGGGCGCCCAAGCGCCGGATGTGACGTAACACGCGCACGCGCGCTGGTCGCACGCCGGCCTGGGGTCGACCGCGGGCCTCGCTACTCGGCACCGCCTCTGGGGCGGGGTCTCGGACAGGAGTGGCGGCCCTGAAGGGGCGTGGTCAAAGGTTTTACTTGCTTTTCCGAAGGAATGTTTAATGCCTTATGCCTTTTGCTTTACTCTCAGCCTTAAATACTTTGGTTTAGGGTTGTGTTTGCCCTTTTCCCCGGAAGCTTAATGCTTATCTAGAGGACCTTAGGAATCAGTTGCAGGGAGGGTCTGGAGAGAGCGAAGTTGGTCAGCGCTAAGGCCTTCCACCGTCCCGTCCTCTTCGGAAGTTCCCCTCCGCGGTTTATGTGGCTTGGTTCCGTTACTTGGCTAAACTTTTTTGGAAACATTTACACGTCTTTGTAGCCTTAGCATCTAAAAGCAATTCCAGTAAACGTTTGTTGAATGAATATTGTGGAATAGTTGTTACAAGTTGAGAAACTTCTCAAGAGCTTTTTAACAGCATAGACAAAACCCCGAATTTATTTTCTGCTATAAAGAGATTTTGAAAACTCTCAAAACTGCTTAGCTCTTGGCTATTTCCTTGTTGTCTGCTGATTAATGTGGCATCAGCAGTGCCAGGATACGGCTTATCAAAGCTGGTGGAATTAAAACACAACTGGAGAGTTGAGCTATTTTTATTAATGTTCTAGGTAAAAAAAACGAACTGATGGAGTTGAACATTTGTAAACTTGGCTAGACAAACACTTAAATGACTCTGCTTGTGCCTTAACGCTAATCAGTTCTACAGATCTTGTCCCCAGAGCGTACTGAATATACTTTGAGAAGGGGAGAAAATCTATCAAAAATTTAGCAATGTGAATTGATAGTCTCATTTTGAAAGTATTGATTTTTAATTCATTAAAAGCAGGTCATATTTCTACTTGAAATTCCAATCATCTCTGAATTTGAGTGTGAATTTGGCCTAAGTACTGTTTTCTATAACAGTGGCTACTGGCAGTGGGCTTTGCAAAGAAGTGACATAAGTTCAAATGATACATATTACAAAATATATACTTGGAACACTAAGTTATGTTTTATCTATAGACAGTAATAACTATACAAAAGAGCATGATTTTAAATACCAATAAAATTATAGAAATATAAACAAGATCCTAATACATCTATGGTAATATAGTAACTGTCCAGCTAGGTCTATTAACATGTTAGTTAATCATCCTGAAAAAATTTGTAACTAAAAACTCATTTTAAAAATTGTAGTAATTGAGGCCAATTGTACTAATTATGCTCCTTTTAAAAGGTCTCTTGAATCTATAAAGTTACATTTTCCACTTGAAAGTTTTGGATAGATAGAATTCAGTGACCCTATTATCTAGTTCAGGGACCCATGGATTACCTATATTGTATGCAAACTGTGTATTTATATAAGAACCTGAATTTCTTTCTGGTGAAGGAATCTATAAGTTTCTTCGGATTCCTGAAAGGATCCAGGACCCAGAAAAATTTATGAATCCGTGTCCTAGCAGACACACTAGCTGCCTTATTTGAACAGTAGGGGTCACTGCTGCTCATCATAAGGATAGAATTTTTCCCTAAAACAGACATGATGCATAATGTAAATATTTTTAAGTCTTTACAGTGTGGAACAAATAGTACAAATTTTAAGGAAGCCTTCCATCCTTTCTTAATCTACCTTTTTTTACTCAGCAATGCAGAAGATCTCTTTATTCTCCTTCAAATACTTGAGTCTTTTGCTCTTGAGTAGAGATAAAAGGTCACATGAGTGTAGATTTCAGTGTCATCTTCATCAGTTTTTTTTTGTAGGAAGTGTTTTCTGAAATTTATACTCACCAAAAGATGGATACTATCTCTTCTTCCTGTTTCTCTCCGTTTAGAGAGTTAAACATATACTCTTTTTTAAATACTACTCTATACCAGTATTCTTTACAGTTGTTTGGCTCAATATGTCCTTTTCCCAGTGAATTTCTGATTTTTAATTCCTTACTAATTCAAAAGGGAGTAATGGTAGACGTTATTGTTTCTTTTTTGAATTTCTGAAGTCAGAACTTTTGAAAAAGAACACTTGAACGTTTCTTCCAGGAGTTTGGTCTTTGTTTATTACAATGCTAAAAATGGACCCCAATGCTAGGTAGTGTTAGCATGCGCTTTCTGGTAACACAGTTGAGAGGAAAGCTACCAGACTACAGGAGACAGTGAAGGAGCTATTCTCACAGCTAATGCTTGGGACAACCTGGGACATAATTAAGCTGCACTGTCAGTTGTAAACATCTTAGAAAGGTGTTAAGCAAGCAAGATCAACTTAAGTTTTAAACAAATCGATTCAATTCATGGGGTGGGTGGGATGGGGGCGGTGGATAACAACAATGGAAGCAAGACCAGCTGGGAGGTAACACACTAGCCCAGGAGGAAGATGATGTCGGTCTGAGTGCAAGTGATGGCAGTGGATATAGGCGGACAAGACTGGTTAACAGAGCAATTGTTAAAGCTAGGGAAAGATGCAAAAATTGAAGATTGGCAGGTTTTCCTGGGAAAGAACTGCAGAAACAAAGTGACCACCAGGGAAGAACACCAGCCCTTTGAAACAATCACTGACACTACCCTGCAGGCGGCGAGAACGAGCGGTGGAACAACGGCAGAAGCTCCGCCTCGGAGCGCGGCGGCCAGCTCAAGTGCCCCAGGGTCAGATGAGGACTGGAGAAATTATCTCAGGCTTCTCACCCGGACGGAACGTCCAACTCTTGCTCTTAGCCTGCCTCCCTCCTTCTCTGAAAACCTTAAGAAAACACTACCCGGCCTCGCCCAAACAGCCTCCCTTCGTAGCCTCTACTCTCCCCAAACTCCCCTAGATACCCCAAGCTCGACGCCAAAGAAAGACGAGCCATAAACAAACGACTCCTCAGCGTCCAAGCGTCACTTTACCTCGACCATGATTCCGTAGCGCAGCCCGCCGCTGCCGCAAAAAGAACACGAATCACCGACGCACAACCCGCCGCCACAAGCATGCAGCCCATCCGGAATCGGGCGCCCAAGCGCCGGATGTGACGTAACACGCGCACGCGCGCTGGTCGCACGCCGGCCTGGGGTCGACCGCGGGCCTCGCTACTCGGCACCGCCTCTGGGGCGGGGTCTCGGACAGGAGTGGCGGCCCTGAAGGGGCGTGGTCAAAGGTTTTACTTGCTTTTCCGAAGGAATGTTTAATGCCTTATGCCTTTTGCTTTACTCTCAGCCTTAAATACTTTGGTTTAGGGTTGTGTTTGCCCTTTTCCCCGGAAGCTTAATGCTTATCTAGAGGACCTTAGGAATCAGTTGCAGGGAGGGTCTGGAGAGAGCGAAGTTGGTCAGCGCTAAGGCCTTCCACCGTCCCGTCCTCTTCGGAAGTTCCCCTCCGCGGTTTATGTGGCTTGGTTCCGTTACTTGGCTAAACTTTTTTGGAAACATTTACACGTCTTTGTAGCCTTAGCATCTAAAAGCAATTCCAGTAAACGTTTGTTGAATGAATATTGTGGAATAGTTGTTACAAGTTGAGAAACTTCTCAAGAGCTTTTTAACAGCATAGACAAAACCCCGAATTTATTTTCTGCTATAAAGAGATTTTGAAAACTCTCAAAACTGCTTAGCTCTTGGCTATTTCCTTGTTGTCTGCTGATTAATGTGGCATCAGCAGTGCCAGGATACGGCTTATCAAAGCTGGTGGAATTAAAACACAACTGGAGAGTTGAGCTATTTTTATTAATGTTCTAGGTAAAAAAAACGAACTGATGGAGTTGAACATTTGTAAACTTGGCTAGACAAACACTTAAATGACTCTGCTTGTGCCTTAACGCTAATCAGTTCTACAGATCTTGTCCCCAGAGCGTACTGAATATACTTTGAGAAGGGGAGAAAATCTATCAAAAATTTAGCAATGTGAATTGATAGTCTCATTTTGAAAGTATTGATTTTTAATTCATTAAAAGCAGGTCATATTTCTACTTGAAATTCCAATCATCTCTGAATTTGAGTGTGAATTTGGCCTAAGTACTGTTTTCTATAACAGTGGCTACTGGCAGTGGGCTTTGCAAAGAAGTGACATAAGTTCAAATGATACATATTACAAAATATATACTTGGAACACTAAGTTATGTTTTATCTATAGACAGTAATAACTATACAAAAGAGCATGATTTTAAATACCAATAAAATTATAGAAATATAAACAAGATCCTAATACATCTATGGTAATATAGTAACTGTCCAGCTAGGTCTATTAACATGTTAGTTAATCATCCTGAAAAAATTTGTAACTAAAAACTCATTTTAAAAATTGTAGTAATTGAGGCCAATTGTACTAATTATGCTCCTTTTAAAAGGTCTCTTGAATCTATAAAGTTACATTTTCCACTTGAAAGTTTTGGATAGATAGAATTCAGTGACCCTATTATCTAGTTCAGGGACCCATGGATTACCTATATTGTATGCAAACTGTGTATTTATATAAGAACCTGAATTTCTTTCTGGTGAAGGAATCTATAAGTTTCTTCGGATTCCTGAAAGGATCCAGGACCCAGAAAAATTTATGAATCCGTGTCCTAGCAGACACACTAGCTGCCTTATTTGAACAGTAGGGGTCACTGCTGCTCATCATAAGGATAGAATTTTTCCCTAAAACAGACATGATGCATAATGTAAATATTTTTAAGTCTTTACAGTGTGGAACAAATAGTACAAATTTTAAGGAAGCCTTCCATCCTTTCTTAATCTACCTTTTTTTACTCAGCAATGCAGAAGATCTCTTTATTCTCCTTCAAATACTTGAGTCTTTTGCTCTTGAGTAGAGATAAAAGGTCACATGAGTGTAGATTTCAGTGTCATCTTCATCAGTTTTTTTTTGTAGGAAGTGTTTTCTGAAATTTATACTCACCAAAAGATGGATACTATCTCTTCTTCCTGTTTCTCTCCGTTTAGAGAGTTAAACATATACTCTTTTTTAAATACTACTCTATACCAGTATTCTTTACAGTTGTTTGGCTCAATATGTCCTTTTCCCAGTGAATTTCTGATTTTTAATTCCTTACTAATTCAAAAGGGAGTAATGGTAGACGTTATTGTTTCTTTTTTGAATTTCTGAAGTCAGAACTTTTGAAAAAGAACACTTGAACGTTTCTTCCAGGAGTTTGGTCTTTGTTTATTACAATGCTAAAAATGGACCCCAATGCTAGGTAGTGTTAGCATGCGCTTTCTGGTAACACAGTTGAGAGGAAAGCTACCAGACTACAGGAGACAGTGAAGGAGCTATTCTCACAGCTAATGCTTGGGACAACCTGGGACATAATTAAGCTGCACTGTCAGTTGTAAACATCTTAGAAAGGTGTATGTGTGTGTGTGTGTGTGTGTGTGTGTGTGTGTGAGACAGAGAGACAAGAGAAGTGATGCGTATCACAATTTTTTTGTCTTCTACATAATGAAGTCCCATCCCGTATCACAAAAACAAGTGTCAAAATTCAACATGATCATGACTTTGTGTTTCTACTTTTGCACAAATGTTTATGTTGGCACAGAAAAAAATAACTATGTGCTGTTTCCAGTTTTTTATATACTACTATGTTTGATAGTAATATTTGTTTAATTATCTGTATTCCCAAACAGGTATATGCAGTATGACATGATATTCACCATCACAAACCCAGCATCTAGTTGATTGCAACTAATAAGTTTTCAATGTTTGTTTAATGAATAAGAAAGGTGTTAAGTTTTAGACACTTAAATAACAGGGATGAAAGGCATTGAGACATTAATTTTGATATGGAATAGCAGGTATTTATAAGAAGGATATTGTGTGTGTTCGATATGTATTCTACATGCTCACCCTAATATTTCAGCAACAATTAATTTAATCTTAACCTTTGTGTGTAAAGCAGAGAATTGCTTGTATAAGAACAATCTGTCTTTCTGATCTTTGTACATTTTATGAAAATGAATTATTTTCCATGATTTTTAGGTAAATTAGTGCCAAATTTTACTTAGTTTATATAAAACTTAACTCTGACATTAAGTTATAAAATACTAATTTGTTTGTAAAAATATAATTTTCAAATATGGGTTTAGTTGACAAAAACTTCTTGACATTAGTAACTAAGAAGATGAAAGCATTTCATTGTTGGAATACTTCACTATAATAAGTTAGGCATTTTTTAGACTGTCTTTTAAAAATCAATACCAAAGTCAGCATCATGTTTATAGAGTAACATTAAAAACATTCTCATTAGCCACAAAACAAGATTTCTTGCTATCGCTATTGGAAACATTAAGAATTCACTGAAATATCCGAATACAAAATAATATTCAAAGAATCAATAGCTTTCATATATGCAGTTAAAAAATATAATGGGGAGAGTGACATTTATAACAGCAATAAATTAAAACTGTGCAAGACCTAGAAAAAATATTAAGGGACACACAAAAAAAGGATTTGAATCCATGAAAATGCATATATTATTCCTGGATAGGAAACACTCAAAATTATAAAAATGCCTGTTACACCATTAAAATTTTGCTAAACATGTTTAACAGAAAATATTTTTAATTTAATTTAAGAAATAGTTATTAAATACTGAAAGTTTTTTAAACAAATGTCACTAAAATACTCCAAAATAAAAGTTTTCATTTCTACAGAATTTTACTGCTGGTACTATATATTTAATGTGTAAAAATTTCTGGTGATTTATTACACTGTTTGAAAATACAGTTTCTCTTTCTAATGCACAATTTATGCTTTAAAAAAAGTCAGTCTGATTTCTGAAAATTTGATATTAATTTTTCTTTTGAATTAGTTCAGCAAACCCAGAAGCCATCTCAGCCTAACTTACCAAAAGATAACAGGGGCATGGGTACTTTAAGAAGGACGTTGGGTGTCTCACAGATTTGACAGAAGAATCGAATGATCAAATTTAGACGTTTTGGTTACTTCTGCTGTTGAGGTTCGTAGGCTTTCTCTCTAGAATGTGCATGAGTGTGACATCAGACCAATGAATCTGATTGTCTGCTTATTTCTTTTGCAAGCATTAAATTGAGGGAGAGAAGCTGATAGGGCTAGCTACCACTAGGTCAGGGACCCGTAGTAGAGGGTCAGGCTAACACAGTACTAATAGGACAACTGGAACCCTACTTCTGCATCTTAGTGGTCATTCCAAGAGAGAAACACTCCAGCGGATGTTCATTACACCCTTTGTGGTTTTGAGTCTCAGTGTAACAGAAGCAGAAGGGCATCTCTAGTTTTCGTAGTCAGCATTGGGTTGAAGAAGAAAATGTCCCATTTTCCCACTTACCGCCATGCTCTGTATCAGCTTCCGTAAGAGAAACAACTAACGTCTTTCAGGTCAATAGAGGGAGACTCTCCACCAGAGACAGAGCTGGGCCCTATTCTTCCCTGCAATGGGCTTTCCCATTGTAGGTGGCTAACCAGTTACATCTGTCGTTGCCGTATGGGTCTCAGCCTTGCTCGGGAAGCGTGGATCCAAGCTAGCCTCTAAGTATTAATTTTCCCTTGCATCATGGTTCTCAAACTGTAGCTCAGGATAAGACAAGAAAAATATACACAGTGATTGACAAATGATTTAGTAATTTCTCAAAAGGTTACACTTATTTAGACAAAGAGAGTCTGTATTTCATTTTGTTCATTCAATCATTCATTCATACATTCATAAACTTGTTCAACAGATATTATCAAATACCTACCATGTGCCAGGTGTGTGATATAAACCATACAATCATTCGAACCACAAGTTTCATGTCCCAAAGTTTTTTCCTTTCAAGACCCTTTTCCCTCTAAAGAAGGTCAGGTCCTTATATTACAGTTCCCAAAGCCTCACTTTCCCTGTCTTAGGCTCAGTGCATGTTATTATAAATAGTTTTCATTTTCTGTCTTCCACTCTAGACATAAACCTTCATGAGTACAGACTGCTTGTCTGTCTTGGTCACCAAAGTGAACCCCCAACACACTGCCTGCTGCAAAGTTAGGTCTTCTATATTTGATGAACTCAAATTGTCTTGTTCTCTGTACACTGGAGCTAACATGACTTGTAAAAGTACCAATAACAAGTACATTGACAGTCAGTGTCCACAAGTCTGTCCTTCATGCCAGAGAGCTGCTGGGCAGGACAGAATATCTCAGTTCTATCACTGATTTACTGTCCTTGACTTATGTAACAGCATCAGCTAATAGGAAGAACACTGCCCTATTGACCTGAAACGTAACAGAACAAATAGTACTCCCTTCCACCTCCACCAATGGCATCAACATTTTTAAAAAATGTAGTATTTTAGTAGCATAATATCTGAAAATATATTTATTCTCTATGAAAATATGGTAATTTACATAAAACATGTGGTATTAGGCACTTCAGAGTGTTAGTGTAGTTGTACATAACTCTAGGAAAAAATATCTAACAAGAGCTAGAATTAAAATATTCATAGTTATTATCATGCATCGGTTATGCCTCTCACATAGACATGAATATCCACACCCACATCCATATATATAAGGGTGAAAATAAAGGCTAAAATGAGGGTGCCAGTCTGAGACACTATAGTCCTGTGACAATGGGCTGGCCAAAACAAGCAAACCAAAAATGTACAGATACATTCTTTACAATGTCTATATTTTGTTGGGCTGTATAGTATAATGGGCACAGAGCAGAAACTGCAGGGTCAGCCAGACCTGTGTCAAGTCCTGGCTCCAGTACTTACTACCTGCTATGTCTTGTGCAGTTTACTTAACTTCCCTGACCCTGTTTCATCATCTGTGGAACTTAGTGGTTTCACAAATTAAGGTAAATGATTATCAGAGCTTGGCATCTGAGGCATGTTTCAGTGAAGGCTAGTTCACTCATTCATGCTACAGTTTTTTACTGAATGCCTTCCATGTCTATCTTGTTCCCCAATGAGTCCCAAGTCTCAGCCCACTGTTGCATAGGAGGTTCTCAAGAACTATTTGTGGAATGAATGTTAAGTCTCTGCTCCTATGGCATGTACGTTCTAGTAGTTTCTTTCCATCTTCCTGCTGATGATGGCAAGAATGCCAATCATAGTAGAAAAAAAGTGGGAATGTAAAGGAATTTTCATTTTAATGTTGTATGATATTCTATTATATGTTAGAAAAAGCTCTCAAACATTTAATTAAAAAAAATAAAAAACAAACTTCTAGAAATCAGGTAATAGCTCTATTGTTAGTTGGTGAAATGTCAGTGCTCAAAACCAAAGTAACAATAAGACAGTGTTACCTCAAAAGAAAAATATTGTTTTAGTCTTATCAGGTAGTTTTTTAAAATCAGAATCTGACATCATTAATATAATATCTGTACTTAAAATACAGATTATTAAAATGAACTTTTTCTCAGTTACATTTTGAAAAATGTATTCTTCATATTCTTGCATCTTATTTTAATTAATGCCAGCACACATTCTTGCTTTTATGGTCAGATTGTGTATTTCTCTAAGAAAAATTAAAATTAAGCTAATCTTAAAGTGTTCTTATTTACTCTAATACTCTATTTAAAGTACTAATAAATGGGACACATAATTGGAACAATCTAACCATGTATTTTACTTAATTTAAACTCAATATTTTGCTTCTATAAATCTGAGTTAAAAGAATTTGGGAATGCAACCTTTGTTACCAAGAACAGAAAGAAATTTAGTGGATCTCATACCATTATAAAGAGTCTGCTTCAAAGCATTATTTAAAACATTCTCCTGATTCAACTCTGGATAACCTGCTATCTTTCTAATAAAATAATTTAAAAAATTCATTTAATGAGAATGTTTCACTTTACACACACGCGCACATACACAAAGCTATAAAGCAGCATGGTTGCTGGGAATTGTGTTGCTGGCTTTAGTTTCCCTATTGATTCTTATAGGAGTTGTTAGTCTGATTGCGACAAATGAAAAGATGAGAGAGATGGATTTAGTGGCTTATAGGACATGATGAAAGAAAGTGGGCGACATTTAGTGTCAGCATCTATTTGAAATGTGTGAAGACTGCAAATGCATTAATGTTATAATAACATTGTTTTCATAAACAACATAATATAGTATAAAATAAAATACATGTTATAATGTAAAAATAAAATAAAATGTTAAATATAGATGTAATCACCATAATAATGATTTTAATTTAGGAATCTGTGTCTAAATATTATTTAGAATTTGCTGAACATTTTAACTTATATTAATAAAGGACAAAATATGAGAGGTGGTCAGAGCAAAAGAGATGACATTTTCTTTTTGTTTTTTCTATTACAGCCTAAGACATGAATTGTAATTTGGATATTCTGATTAATGTCTAAAGGAGAAAATAAACACATGGTATTATAACATTCTTGATTTCAAAAGCCCTTCTTGGAACTGAATTATGTGAATTACCTTAAAACATAAATATTTATGATATACTTTTAGTAAGCTTACAACGTTAGTGGATGCCTTGTGAGTAGGTCCGATATTTTGTGCTTGGATTAAAAATATTTTTTTCTTCACACATCCTTTGTGAGCCTGTGTAGTGTCCACATCAATTTACAGAAAATGTGTTACACATATCTTTTAGGAATGTCCTAATTTCCAATCATACTGCCCAATTAAGTGCATTGAAAAACTTTGATGTTTCTAAATTCGGCGAACAGAGAAGAGTTGTATGACAAGTAAATAAGTCTTGATGGGAAGATGTTGCTTAAGAGATAAAATGGTTCAGCCAACAAGTGAGTCAAAAAATTGAATATTAACTAAAGAAGGTAATGATTTCTAAAGTCATATCTAACAGAGAACTCAGGTATATATAGGATTGAAGATCTCTAAGTTAAATCCACAAGCAAAAGACAATTTCTTGGAACTTCCAAAAATTTTAAACCATGAAACGTCTATTACTGCTACTGTTGTGTGCTTTTATAGTTAAGTTACAAGCTGTCAGTGACTACGATGAGGTGACTTTTAAAAAATTATATTATTACTAATATTATTAACATAAACTATAATAGAATGTAATTATATATGAATATTTATTTTAATGAAATTAACATTGACGTTAGTTATGAAATTGAACTGTCATTCTAAGAAACCCATTTTATTCAAAGAATGTTACATAGTATTTCTTATATAAAACCAAAATAATAATTCTTGTTTTCCGGTTTATCACCTTTATTTTCCCAGGAAGAAGACAAAGCTAAGGTATGATGTGTTTTTCTCATTTGTTGTTACCCTGAGTACTGTGATTTTTCATTTACTTCTAGCATTATTATTATTTTGTATGTAATAATAATATTATATAATAATACATTATTATGGTTATGAGGACAAAAATCTGAAAATTTTTCAGACTATGAAATAATGGAAGAGCAGTATTTTAAGAGAAAAAAGCTGTGGTAGGTAGGTTGCTCCTTGGTGAAGGAGGGTAATATGTAGCTCTTGAATCATCATATGATAATCTTGAATCATAAAAATCATTGGCTTTTTATGAATGAAGATTATACACTAAATCTAGAAGCAGAATAGATTGAGTGCAGTAATAGAAAATGAAATGTTTTTTTAAAATGAGAAAATTTAATTCATAAGTAGTATTTATTGTTATTAATGATTATGAAAGACAGCTCAGTTTAATTTATTCATTTGTAGAACAGTGTTCCATCAAGTACTACCTTTGCTGATTTATTCATATTGGTTTGAAGTTACCAAAATACAGAAATGAATTTAGGGAAATAAATATTAAAAGAGTTTTAATTTTATCATCAAATGAATCATCGTCAAGTTTCTTGCAAACAGTATCGTTGCTCTAGAAATAAGAGTGCACAATAATACTTAACTGAAGTGATTCCCTTTGGATTATTTGTTGACTGTGAAGGGAACTTAAGTGGTTTTAATAATTAAATATACATATAAAAAGATAGTTGTCTGGTAAATCACATTAGGTAAGAAAAATGTAAAGAATATGTAGGAGTAAACTTTGGTAAAGTATTTGGCTAAGCACTTTAAAATACCTGCTCACCAACTAATTACGGTTTACCAGTTTAGATTCCAAGATGGATTTTCTAGTTTTTTAGTTATTAGTATTTATTTAGTTATGTTTTAGTTATTTCAATGAATGGTTTTCATAACCTTAAATGCCCATTTAATGTCTTTAAATCCTTTTGATTTCCTTTTCTCTAGTAAAGCTGACAATCTATCTCTCTAATGGCACTCTGAATTAAACAAAAATATTTGATTTTGTAATAAACAGGAATCAAATTTCATAAAATTCCTGTTAGAACAGACCAGCTCTGGCTGGTACCATGTCTTGAATGTGCAATATTTGTATTTTTTCCATATCTTCACACATTATTATTTTTATTGCAATCACATATAACAAATACTATAGTTTAAGTTCAGTATTTAAGCAGGGGAATCTGAAGCCAGCTTGCCTGGGTTAAAGCCTCACACCCTCCCACTAAATTAAATATTATTATAACTCAATGATTAAATGACAATAGTATTTCAAGTAGAGTCGTTCTATGACTTTAGGCTCACAAAATAGAGAGTTTAGTCTCTGCTTCAAATCTTGTCATTTGTTAGGTAATTAAGTCCCAAAGGATATAATTACTGGCAAAGATCACATGATAATATAGTTAATCCAAGCCAACACTTTTGTATTATATTGCATATTTTCTACCTCATTATATTTTAATGTAATATTTTGTAAGATAGCAAATAATTTTAATTCCAATGCACATACCTTGAGAATTATTTTAAATCTGAGAAAATCATGGTGTTTGATAAAGAAATCATGTAGGAAATTTCATGAGAATGGTTTAACAAGTAATTTTGTTGATAGAGGATAAGAGTAAGACTGGAATTTGTAGTGGAGAAGCCACTTAAACTATAATATCTGTTATGTGTGGTCACAATAAAAATAATAATGAGTATGTATTATGTACTAGGTACTATGTTATATGCAATGGCATTCAATCCCTACAGTCATCTTATACAGTAGATACTAAATATTATTGTCCCTATTTTACAGATAAAGGCACAGACAAAATAACTTGCCTAAGATCAGATAGCTAATCAGTGGTAGGGTGAAGATTTCAGCACAAGCAGTT